TTGCCATTGTGGACGTTCATATCTTGTTTGCTTAGTCCAAAGCCTTCAGTTCAGACAATGGTAGAGGAAGGAGAAGACATAATGATTCAAGTAAAAGAGAAGGTCTCTCAAGTTAGTCAGACAGAGGAAAAGATTCAAGTAAAAGAGAAGGCCTCTCAAGCTAGTCAGACAGAGAAAGAAAGTGTAAAACAGAAAAAGCCATCAGGGGGAAAGGTACAACAGGAGACTGCTACTAACACCTTTCTATCACCAGAGGGTGTAAGTGTCCAACCAACAGCACCACCTCTACAGGAGACTGCTACTAACACCTTTCTATCACCAGAGGGCGAAAGTGTCCAACCAACAGCACCACCTCCATATGCTGGGAGGCCCCCAACCCCCACAGTTGATAGTTGGGATCCTGAGACAAGGTCTCAAATATTAACATGCCCTGTATTTGAGGCAGGAGGGCAGCGATTTTACCAAGTTTTAAATTTCAAAACAGTGAAGCAGCTAAAAGAGGCTGTAACAACCTATGGTCCTCAAGCACCCTTCACTGTAAGCTTGGTCGAATCCATTAACAACTTGAACATGAATGTTATGTGTTGTATGTATTATATTATGTGTGCACACTTGTGTTTTGTGTTATATGTTTGAATGTACGTATGTCCATATATCATATATGATGAGCGCTCATGATAAAATGGATCCAAATATTTTTTTTTTTTTTTTTTTTTTTTCACGTGATTTATATGGTTTAATTTAAATTGGGTAAACAACTGTTGAGGATTGTTTTAATATGTAAACAAAAAAGAAGGTTAACAGATCTGTTTGTTTACTTTTACCTTTCCTTTTCATTATATTTAATAATTCTCTTAAAGATAATGTAAATTGTTAAGAAAATTGTTTTCTTTTAGTGCCTTCTGTAGTGTTACATAATTTTTTCTTTAGCCATTATTGCCAGAATTCCTATCTTCATCCCAGTGCCGGTGAAGACAATGTAAATTGTTAAGAAAATTGTTTTCTTTTAGTGCCTTCTGGAATGTTACATAATTTTTTCTTTAGCCATTATTGCCAGAATTCTTATCTTCATCCCAGTGCTGGTGAAGTGAAAGATAAAACCAATCTACAGCTTCTACAATAGCCATCACTGAACTGCTTGCAGAACTTGCCTGGACACATTGTGAGCTCACCTGTATGCATTGTGAACTATCTGTTGGTACAGCGAATTGTGGTAGTGCTGGAGTATTTTTGCTGATGGTGTCACTGGTGGTACAATTTTTCAAAGGAGCCCTCAATTGGCTTAATGTCATGGCATTTTGCATCCTCCTCTACTAGTGATGGTCTAAAATTTGGGGGCCAACAGAGGTGAGGCAAAGAACCTCACCCCCCCGCAGGTGCAAAGGCCTATCCACAAGTATGCCTGTATGCTGGACCGGTAGTCAGTGACGGGTATGATCCAATTGCAGTGGTACCAACCTAAGACAGGAGGCTGACGCCTAGAGGTCAGTTCATCCGATGACGGGTAAGGACCATATGTTGAATTGGACTGCCTAACAGGCACGGTCCCTAAGCCACATGCTTGTTGTTTAAACAGAGAGGGGGAGATGTTGAGAGCCACAGCCAAAGGGGCCCCAGCAAACTTCCAGCTGCCAGCAAACTTCCAGCTGCTGGCTGATGATTGGCTCACAGCGGCCCCAGCAACATCTAGCTGATTGGCTCCTCGGCCCCAGCAACATCTAGCTGATTGGCTCCTCTGCGGTGATGCTCATTGGACTGTTTCCCTGCTCTTTCAGACCACGGAGCTGCTCATTGGGGGACTTTTTTGGCTCCGCCCACGTGACCCAGCCAATCAGCCTCAAGAGCAGGAGGATTGTGGGAGGGGGAGAGAAGCTTGTGTGGGAGAGAGAGGCTTGTGGAAAGCCGGTGGTGGCAGTTGAGGCTCTGAGGGTTTTTCCTGAGAGACTATTTTGTTTGTCGTGTGTGGTTCTAAAAATAAAGTTAGTTTCTTTTGACAAGTGGCTCCTGATTGTGCCCAGCCAGACTGCGGCAAGTTTTTCTCATAAGGTGTTTGATGAGGTGGGGGGTGTTGGGGAGACTTTATGTTTGTCCAGAGCTCGGTCAGGTGACCGCACAGGCGGGTGGCTGGGCCCCTCCGCCAGTTGGGGTGGTCTGTCTACTGCGCAGGTGGGCGGCTGTGCCCCCTCTCTGGGCCGCGTGGTCTGCTTACCGTGCAGGAGGGAGGCTGGGCTCCTCCTCCAGTTGGGACGGTCTGTCTACCATGCAGGCGGGCCGCTGGGCCCCTTCTCTGGGTCGCGTGGTCTGCCTACTTTGCAGGCGGGAGGCTGCTAGTTTTTTTTTTTTTTTTTAAGAAAATACTTCAGTATAGCTGTCAAGAGCTTTCAGAGGAGAAAAAGAAACTAAATTGAGAGGTAAAATTTTTTTAAAAAATCCTTTCAAAGCTGGTTGCTGTAGCATATACCTGTAATCCCAACAACTCAGGAGACTGAGGCAAGAGGTTTGTAAGTTTGAGGGCAGCTTTGGCATCTTAGCAAGATTCTGTCTCAAAATAAAAAATAGAAAGGACTGCAGATGTAGCTCGGTGGTACAGTGCCCCTGTGTTCAATACCCAGTCCAAATAAAGAAAAAAAAGAAATACTTAGGACAATTTTAAATGGATATAAATATATATGATATATATATCAATGATAAAGTACTCCTGTGTTCAATACACAGGATGGCATACACACACACACACAAAATCCTCTCATATATTGTTGTATAATGCTGATCATAAATATTTATAAGGAATTGAATGACAGTAAAATAAAATAATCTAAATGCACTTTCAGTAATATTTTTAGATTTTAAACCAATATGCTTTTAAGTACTTGCAAATTATTTATATTAAACAACTAATATCTATCTAGAGGAAAAACCATTTTGGATATTGACCTTCAAATTTAGTAACCTTTCTGCTATCTCCATTGATGGCCTTGTTCCAATTCCAGACTTCCAAGTTTAACTCCAACTTAAATTTGAATGTACTTTTAATGAAGCCTAATTGCTCTACATCTTCCACCTTTCACTAATATCCTCATAGCCTAGGAATCCCTTGAAGCAGAATGAACTACAGTCCATTAGGGTTAAGTGATCAACAATAAAGATATCAATTTTCTATAAACCCACTACACATATGTATTCAGATTTTGTAAACTAGATTCCAGGATTTAAACATTGTGAGGTATCATAACCAGTAACCAACAGTGCAAAATACTATTCCATCAACCAAAGCTATAAGATAAGGGTTAATATAACTAGGGAAAATAAGGCCTGTACTATGAACAAGATGGGGGTTAGTGGAAATCCTGGTGCACTGTAACTAGCATACTTACAGGTAAATTGATTTGTATACATTCTTTTTATTTATTTATTATTTATTTATTTATTTTTAATTTATAGATGACAGCAGAATGCATTACAATTCTTATTACACATATACAGCACAATTTTTCATATCTCTGATTGTGGACAAAATATATTCACACCAATTTGTGTCTTCATACATGTACTTTGGATAATAATGATCATCACGTTCCACCATCATTTCTAACCCCGGGAGGTGGCATGGAGTTAGAGATGTATACTTTCTTTCAATATTGGTTTAATTTTATCCTTTAAATACCAGAGCTGTCAATGGTTTTAGTTTGCACTGTAGATTTTAAAGAGTGAGGGACATCTTTGAAACTCTTTACAAATGTAAACCAGATCATGGAATGATATGTCATTGTCCATGAAGGTAACCACACACTAGATAAGTCATACCAACTTTTCAATTGAAGGCAACTGTCAAAGCTGGATGAAGTATAAAAACTATCTTCATAAAGACATCAGAAAACTTTAAAAAGAATGAAAAATTGGATAGTATGGAGTGAGGGTAGAGGGGACAGAAAATGAGACCATTACTTGGACCTTATTTTCTCTGGGAATGTTTTCATAGTTCAGAGGAGACTAAGTAGTTGAGAAGCTGAATTGTGTTTTTAACAATTTCACACAGCTTTGTAGACAGATATTGAACTCTTGGGATTGTCAAAGGTGGGACAGGTGAAGGGTAGAGGCTAGAGTGTCTCAGAGATGGGACTCTGAATGCCTGAACCATTGAAGAATGGACCTGAAAATGTCCATCATTAAGACTGGACTAGCTCCACTTCTGTACTGAAGAGATCCCTCATTGCTAATTCCAACAAGCACTTGATGGAATTAAATATAAACCCTCTGTGGACAAGGATAATATTAATTAAGACCACAAAATACTTCTTGAAACAATTTTGCAAATATAATATCCAGCATGCAATAAGAAATAGCCAAACATCAAAGGAGATAAGATGTATGATTAAAAACCATAACAAAAGACTGTAGAAATATATCTAAAGAGGCACCAGATATTAGGGTTTGCAGAAAACAACTCTAAAATAATCATATTTGCTATAAACAAGATGAAAGACATGATTAAGACTTGAAATTCTAGAACTCAGAAATAAGAACTTGTGGATAGGTTTCACAGCAGATTAGACATAGAAATTTAGGGAGCCAGAAAAGAGAACAGAGAATGTCCAAACTGGAACTTGGAGAGAATCCAAAGGTAGACAGCACTGAAGGGAGAATAAATGATGTTTGAGGGTTCAATGATAAGTCCTTGTTTAAGGTTGTGACATGACATGCTGGCGCAGGGGGTGGGGTACGAGGCACGGAACTAACCTTGCAGAGTCTTTCAGTAAAGCCATGGTGTTGGCAGGCTCACTGCCTCTCTCATCTGCAGGCCGGGGAAACGCGCATGCCCGAGAGGCGGGACCTCCTCTATGACGTGACCCTTACGTCATAACCTGACGCGCTGTGCCGCCACTGCTCCTTCTGAAGTGCCTCGTTTCAGGCTGTGCGGTCGCCGTTTTGCTCGCTCTTGTTGAAGCGCCACAGTTGAGCAAAAGTATCTAGAGCGAGAGCGTTGCAGATATTGTGGTACCATGCCGTCCTTGCCGCTTCAGGTGGCGGTGGTCTGCTCTAGCAACCAGAATCGGAGCATGGAGGCACACCACATCCTCAGCAAGCGAGGTTTCAATGTCCGTTCCTTTGGAACAGGATCTCACGTGAAGCTTCCAGGACAGGCACCCAACAAGCCAAATGTTTATGATTTCAGAACCACATATGATCAGATGTACAACGATCTTATTAAGAAAGACAAGGATTTCTATACGAAGAATGGCATTTTGCATATGTTGGACAGAAATAAAAGAATCAAGCCTGGTCCAGAAAGGTTCCAAAATTGTAAAGAGTGGTTCGATCTGATCCTCACTTGTGAAGAGCGAGTCTATGACCACGTGGTGGAAGAGCTGAATTCCAGAGAGCAGGAGACCTGCCAACCCGTGCATGTGGTCAATGTGGATATACAAGACAACTATGAAGACGCCACCCTCGGGGCATTCCTCATCTGTGAGCTCTGCCAGTGTATCCAGCACACTGATGACATGGATGATGAGATTGAAGAGCTGCTGCAGGAGTTCGAAGAGAAAAGCGGCAAGGCTTTTCTGCACACCGCCTGCTTCTACTGAAGAAGGCTGCCTCCCGCCCTCCGAAGCCACCTGGAGCTTCATTTTGTTAGTACTTTTGCCTTCCTGATACTTGCTTAGTTTTCTGCCTAATACTTTTAGGCATTTTGACATTGGACAGAGTATCACCCTGATGAACCTCAACCACATATAAAATGAATATATGAATACCAGGCTTGAAATAAAATGTCTTCTATCCCACTTTTACAGATAAGTGGGATGTCAGTTATAAATGTGTTCCTTCAAAAAAGAAAAAAAAAAAGTTGATCGTTAATTTCCTCCAACATATGTACTCTTAAACTGTGCCTGCCTTTCCCTTTCCTATTTCCCTGGCCAGAGTGTATGAACACCTGGAGAAAAGTAGCAAGGTGTATCTTATTGGAAAAACTTGGAATTGTTCAATAAATAAATGTTGCTGGTTGTCAAGAAAGCTTGTTTACATTTAATTTGAGTTTTAGAAGGAGAAAAGAGAAATAATATGAGTAATATTTAAAGATAGAGTGGCTAAGAATTTTCCAAAATTAACTTTAAAAAATCATTTTAAATGGTTTATGAACCTAGGAAGAAGGAAGGTAAGATTTGGAGTGAATATCAATACTTTCTTAGTCTATTCAGCTGAATTTTGGTGTGTAGACATATTAGAATATCTATGGTGATATTGATATTCATGGTGAGACCCTAGAAGCACAAATAGAGATGTGGGGCAATTTCCTTGAAGAACCCAAAAGCAGGAAAGGGCAATACATAAGTACTTAGAAGGAGTCAGGAGTCCAATTTGGAGAGCTGAGCTTAATATTTGTTACATTTTGGGATCTTAAATTTCCCTCACAGGCCATGTGTTTAAAGGCTTGGTCGCCAGCCTGTGGCACTACTAGAGATGGTGGAACCTTTAAGAGGTGGGGCCTGATGGAAGGATGTTAGGTCACTAGGGACATGCCCTTGCAAGGGATATTGAGACCAGAAATTGCTTCTCTCTCCCAGCCCCACTTCCCGCTGCCATGAGGTGAGCAGTTTTGCTCTACTATGCACCCCCCACTATGATGTTTGGCCTCACCCCAGTCCAAAAACAACAGAGCCGAGTGACCATAGGTCACTCCTTTTAAGTTGATTATCCTAGGTATTTTGTCACAGCAATGGAAAGCTAATGCAATAACCAAGTTTAAACAAATAGAAGAGAGAAAGCAGAAGGAAAACATCCTACAGGTTGGGACCTAGGCAGAACTTAAATGAATACAAAACCAGAGCTAAGCAAGGCTGTAAGATTCCATCCACAACATCTGAGTATCTGAGGCAAATGGCTTAATTTGGCTTAAAGGCATAGTACTAGGTTGGATGATCAAAGGCTTCAGAGGGGCAAATAACTTGATACTAAATGTCTTTTACAAAGATAATTCTCTAATCAATGTGAAAGGTGAACTAGAGAAGTTGTGATGGTTATGATCTCAGGACTGGAGATTAGACAGACTTGAGCACAAACCCTAAATTACTTTAACTAACTCTGTCTCCTGGGGCATGCTGTATAATCTCTCTAGACTTCAGTTTTCTCATCTTTAAATTGGGCATCTTCACTGGATTCTTTTGAAATAAGTGTGATAATGCTTGGCCAAGTGCCTGTCATGCAGTGAGCATGCAGTAAGCACAGTGTGAGCACTGATTGGGGCTCTTCTGAGGAGAAACCAAAGGCAGCAAGATTGACCAAAATGGTACTGAGATGGTCTAAGGAAACCTAGGGAGGTCAATGCATGGGCTTGTCAATAGCTGTAAGAATGAGGAGGGGGATATGTATCAGGGCTTGAGGCCACAGATTCAGTGTACATGAGGGAGTTAGTGGGGGTAGGAGGAGGATAGGAACAGTAAAATAACACAGAGAAAGAACAAAAGAATCCCTCCAACTCATCCTAGGCACATACTCCATGTACAGGTGGGTGCAGCTGAATGAGCACTGTGCCCAGAGACAGACCTGATGAAACAAATGCCTGTGTGTGCAAAGATCCATATAATTTTCAGAACTGAAGTGGCCCACTGTATTCCAATATTCTTTTTTTTTTTTTTGGTACCAGAGATTGAACCCAGAGGCACTTTGTCACTGAGCCATATCTCCAGCCTTATTTATTTATTTACTTAGAGACAGGGTCTGGCTAAGTTGCTCAGTGCCTCACTAAGTTCCTGAGGCTGATTTGAACTTGTGATCCTCCTGCCTCAGCCTCCCAAGCCAGTGGGATTATAGGCATGTGCCACTGCTCCTGGCTGTATTCCAATATTCTGCAGAAGTGTAGAAGCCCAGTGTAAACTTTGACCAGAGGCAAATAGCTTTTTTAATGATTATGGTCAGTCATACCATGACACTCAACAATTTGCACAAAGGTCAGCAGGCTGTTAATTTCTCATAGAACTGAAGAAACAATTAAAAATATTAATGGAAAACTTAATTGTTTAATTAATCTACTCTCCCTTTCCACATGGCCACTTCTTCAACCATCCTAATACTTATGAGTAACAGCTCATAAGAGATGCTGCTTATGTTCTCAGCCCAAGCAAGCTGTCTTGCAAAAGAGGTTAAGAATAGATTGCAACTCCCTCTGAAGTCTCTGTTTTCTACTTTTGCTGTTTTCAATTAGACAGAAGGAGTCAGTTTTATCAAAGGATTTTCTGAGGCTCCAATTTCTCTGACAAGGAGAAGTGTGAAGGCCAAATGGCCCACTAGGGAAGATTTCAATCAGTGGACATCACCAGTAGATGGCTTGCCTTAGTTATTTTTGGTTACTATAGTTCCAACACTGAAAGAACCAGGCAGAGGGCAGGAAGAGGTGACAAATGAAGAGATGGGAAAGAGGAACAGAGAAGTAAAACCTTCTAATGTGCTAGAGCACATTAGAGGTCTCATAACAAAAATCCTGTTTCCCTCAGTTTAGCCTCTCCACTGTCAGTTTGCCCATCAGCTCGATGTAAGAAAAACAGTTTAATAGACAAAGTGATTTGTGGTCCCCTCATCTGCTTGCATCTCCTGAATCATTACCCCCTTCTCCAATATAGAACCCCCGTTGCCCTCATGCTGTTCTTCTCCCTTGCCATCAGACTGAATATGATCCTATTCTACAATTTAGATTTTTCCTTTCCTTTCTCAGCTTTTCCCCACAGAACCTGATCAAATATGCATGTTCACTCTACCAAGGCCTAGAAAGAGGTTACCCATATTGGCATGTTCAGAAAAGTATGGGACTCATAAGAGTCACTTTCAAGTAATTGTATCTGGATTCTACCAGAAAGAAGGGTACCTTGAAGGAGTTGCAACAATTTCAATAGTCACAATCTTCTGATGCTTTTGTTCTCAACTACAGCTAAATTCAGGATTAATTCAGATTGCTTTCAATTTTTGTTTCTGTGTATGGACAACTACTTGGGGGCTTGTTTGGGAAAGGAACTATGACCATCTGGTTCACCATCATACTCACACATAATTCTCCCCCCACAACACCTGTGTGACACATAGAATTCCACATTTGTTCCCCAAACAAAATGAGACAGAGCACATGATTGCTCATATGTTGATTTTCTCATACTGATCCCAGAGATGGTAAAAATCACTTTTCCATTCTAATAGCAGTCCTTGAAATACCAGTTTTAATATTTTCTGGGGATTGTGTAAACATTCAATAATTAATTCTCATAATACCTTGTAGAATTAGTTATGCTTATGAAAGTTTCATGGATAAAGAAAGTGTGTTGAAATTCTGGTTTAAGATCAAGGGAGAAGCAAAATTTAGGTTTAAACATCAGATGGAAATTGCTGAAAGCTAGATTCAGGCCACCCCGTGCTTAAAGATAATCAATCAAAGACAGATGGTGAAGATTCTGAGATGGCTATTTTCTAATTGGAAGTCCTCAACTAAGTACTTAACACATATGTCTTTTTCCTAACAAGATATAATTTGATAAGAGGGGAAAATAGTTGACTTTTTAATGGTTTATCATATTCTACACTCAAGTGTTCCACTCATCCCAGTCAAAGACATAGTCATTTTCCCAGTGAGTCAAGGTCATTATGGCTTTCTTCCTTCTCCCATTCACAGCCACCCATCAGCAAGTACAATCACGTCGGCCTCCTAGATCCAATTTAGTTCATTACTGCTGCCACTGCAGCACTAGCCCTTGCCTGGAAAAATGAAATAGCCTCTTAAATATTCTTCCTGCAGTCATTCTTTTTTCCTTCCAACCTATACTCCCCTGATTAGTAAAACTTTGATGCTTTTTATAAACACAAAGCAGTTGTCATATCTCTGACTCTCATTATGTTTGAAATAAAACCAAAACTCTCTATCAAGTCCTATAAGGCTTTGCATTTTCTAGTTACTTTTTGACCTTAAATACTTTCATTCTTTTCCTTGATTTTATACTCCAGCCATTGCATTGCAGTCATCTTATTATTCTTTAAACATGATGAATTTTTTTTTCTCAGAGTCTTTGTATTCACTTATTACTGACCATTATATTAGTGTTGCTAGCATCATTATTAATACAACAGGTATTCATCGAGCCAGCTAATTTCTGTAGAATGAAAGCAGAAAACAACTTTTTTCTTCTTATTACTGTTCTTTTGTCAAATGACTTCTTCCTCAGGCTTGAATGATTATACTGGACTGATCCCATAGTTTAATCGATGGCTTTCAGATATGAAAAAGACCAGGAAAATATAAAGTTGTGGTTCTCAACAGGTAAGATACCACTCATTGCAAGGGAGGTAGATATATGGAAATTCTTGGGACATTTTTGGTTGCTGCCCTGACTGGGACTGACATTCAATGGCACTGGGTAGACAAAGGCCACAGATACCAGGTCAGTAAGAGAACACTTGTTTCTGGTAGCAAATGATTTTTTAATGTCTTTTTGGACACTTATGTATACATAAAACATATAAATACAAATTATTTTTGCCTTGGTTTACTACACACTAAATTTTCCAAAATTGAGAACACTGGATATATCAAAGGATAACTGCACACTGT